TGTAATCTTATTCTCCAAATAATAGAATATCCCCCTAGGAAAAACTCTATTACAGTAGACTAACTAAACTTTCAATTAGGTGAACCACTATAAACCTCTTATTTATCAACTTTTACTAATTGGGATTATCTCTGTGATTGATTGTTCACGCTTGCAAGCTTAGTTGCTCCGACTAGATATCCCAACAAACCCCTATTATCTTCCCTAACTAATCTCAAACCCATTTGCCCTCTTTGAGCCCCGAGTTCAACAACTTATCCGTATAGACCATACCATCAATTACTCTATACCAAACTTCGGAATTAATATTACTAAGGAATGGTCATTCCATTCCTATACTTCGTTAGCACTTACTAAACGCAAATACTCAAATCAAATATACATGACTCTGGAATTGGCCCTTCAGCGTGTAGTCCTCGTCTCCTCCAACAGGACTAAATGGGCCTCTTTGGGTCTTTTCTCTTTGATAGTTCCTGTGCTCAATTTCAAAATCATGATGGGCTATATATGTAATAGATATCTTCCTGGGGTGCTTGCATGTTTCAGCCCAAACTTTTTCTTGAAGCTGGAATCCATATTGACGACCTAGTGAGCTCTTTCTTTTCAAATTTGGTAAGATTGGTGGTGAGGTTTCTAAGTATGGGGTTTGGAAGCCTCCCCATTTAAGCTTTGTTTGCTTAGAGTGCTCGCATATTGTTCATTCTATCAGCATCGTAAATTTTTCATTCTATCAGCATCGTAAATTTTTCATTGCTGACCAGACCCTCCTAATCATTAAAAAAAAAAAAAAGATGTTTCGTTGTGAAGAATGAAAGAATTTGATGTAATGGAATTCCTAGTATACTCTCTGAAACCGAACAAGCAAATCTAAGAGACAGGTTGAGACGAGGGAGTACCTACAAAATCATAACACAGTTTTTGGAAGAAAAAAAATCTGCAAAAAAAGACTGCAGCGATATTATTGGAAAAGACGATTTTTGTATTGTCCATTAGCAATCCTTTGAATAGAACCCAGGAGGTGCTAAGATGGAATATACTTGGTAATATGCCTAATACATTTCTCGTAATTGGTCCACCAAACGAATTTAAACATATGATTTGATTCGATTTATTTAATAATTCAAACAAATTAAAAGAAGTCAAAATTAAGTCGAGCATAAATTATTCAGATCGTCTAACAACTTTAATTTTGACTAATTTCAAACAATCTTAACGCTTTCAACTACTATGCCATGATCGTATGTTGATCATCAATAACATGTACATAACAAGAGTTCAAGGATTCAGATCATCTCCAGTATATTTTTTCTTTGATTCTCTTCTTGGCATATCATCTACCTTTAATAAGTGGAGGATTCATTTATATACGATGAGCCCCACTTGAATACACAAAGAATGATATGCTAAAAAAATGGAAAAAATATATATTAGAACACATGGTCTGAATTTCACCAGCCTACGAGAGACAGTGGACCTTCCAATCATTTAATTTTGATGCATGCTATTGTAGTTACACATGTCTGAAGGCACTCTTAACATACAAAATTTATCAAGCAAATAGGAGCATCCAAGAATGTTTTAAATAAAAAAAATCCAACGGTTGAAATGAAAAAAAATTATATCACATTAATATAATCCTTGAATCCCTGTAAACTTAAACTAACACCGTCACCAAATTATCTTATTATAAATTTCTTCACGACAACACTTCTTTCCACCAAATGAGTGTTCTTTTTTTCAACTTGTGACTAAATATAGTGAATAGGTTGTCTAGTTTTAATAAGAAATGTCATTAAGAACACATAATTAAATCACTAAATCTAATCAAACGAATTAACTATATTAAATTACAAATCAAATTTTCGAAAAATAGAAAAAAAAAACCCAACCGAATTAATATTACTCAATGGATCTATTTGTAACTGCGAGAATAATTGATTTAAATTCTTTGTCGCTGTGACTTCTTGGCTTCTATAGAAATATTCTCACGTTGTAATTAAACCAAATCAACAAAATAAAAATTTCACTTCTTCAAAAAAAAAAAATTTAATTTAACTAAATTTTTGTAGTTTCGATGTCTATTTTGCATTATTCAAGCATTCAAAAAAATATGTATATTAGTAAGGGGAAAGTGATGCAAATAAGAAAAAAAAAGAAGTTATAGTTGGCTTTCAATATATATTTTTTTTCTTTTTTGCAATTGGGTTCACTTATTTTTTTGTATTGGTTATTAGCTTTTGACTTTTTGTGCGGTTGATTTTATTTTTTTTTATTGGTGATTAGCTTGATTTTAATTTTTTGTTTTTTAAATGCATTTGATATCACTTGTATTTTTAATTGATGATTAGTTTGACTTTGAAATTTTTTAAGTAAAAAAGTTCATTTAAGATCGTCATGACAAACAATGTTAAGAGGGAGAGAGTATGAGAAATGTGAGAGTATGTATTTAAAAGAGATATGAAATAGAGAGAGAATTATATAAGATATGAGAGAATGTGTGTTTAAACTGTCTGAAAAAGAAAGAGTTATCTACTTATGAGAGTTGAGTGAATGAAATAGAGAAAGAGAGAGAGTTATACGAGATATGGGAGACGTAGAGTTGTAAAAGGAATTAAAGTTCAATTAAGATCATCGAATCAATACTCTTCAAATGACTTGAGCTGTAAAAATTTAAAAACAAATCATTTAACTACTTTATTATATAGATATATGTAGGTAAATTATGCTAAAACCTTTGGTATATAATTCGAAAATCTTCTAATTACACAAACACCCTTGGATACTTTCATAAATTACATAAATGTATCTTATATTCATAATAACGCTTTATTGATATGAAATTGGCACTTATCACGAGTTGTACTTTTAACATGAAGCACTGGCAAGGCCAAATAGACGCATTGTTAGCTGGACACGTGTCATCCAAATGAATCTCCACGTGGTCGCACGAGCTTAGAAGCATTGTGAGTTGGATACGTGTACTATAATACAAAGTCTCCACGTGGTCGCACGAGCTTTGGATAAGTCACCCAAAAGTAAAAGACAAGCAACGAAACGAAACGAAACGAAAGGCTTTCTCGTATCGCATCAGAAGCCAAGTGGGCCCCTGCTTCTTCTAACTTTCAACACTTGGTCCCACCGACCAGTGGGGACCACGTGATCAAAGCTCTAGTTAATCTCTCGTCATCACACGTGATCGGTCGGTTAATCTCTAGATTATTGCAGATTTTGATTTTGACTTTGTGGTAATCTTGTATTAGTGTTCCTTAATTAGATGTTTACTTGTAGCTGATCACGTGAAGAGCGTGATTATCCAAAAAACTGAAGAAAGCTACACTATCCAAGGCACGCCCTCAGAAGTGAGTTTGGGAATGGAAAACTCGGATGAGTGCAGAGGATCGTGGCCCACCGTCTTTATGAAGTTGTATTCCGCACCACGTAATTAAGCCAGTCCGCACAGGCACCGAGGAGACCGAATCAAATGGGCTTTGAATTGGGTGTCTGTTGCTAAACTAATCAATTTTTTTTTTTTGGATTAGTTAAGCTCCTTCCATCCCGAGATAAGGACTTTCTTTTTATCTAACTGTAATTAAAACTTTTTTACATAATTTTATTGTCGCATTGCCTTGTTTCGATCCAAAAAAAATAAAAATTGTAATAGCCAATTATTGTATGCCTTTTATGCTATTAGTGATGTTCAAATTTTCGATTAATCGTAATTTTTCATCTCATCTGAACTTATTCGACCCGATTGATCAGTTAATTGAAAAAATCAAATAGGAATGTAAAAAAAAATTTGGTCTTCTGATTAAATCGAATAAGAATTCGAAATATCCATCACATCATCTCTCTTGCCTCTGGCCTCCTCATCTCGTCTCTATCACCTCTCTCGTCGTATCTTTAAATAATTATGATGAATTGATGTTTATGTCTTAAACTTTCTTGGGTGTTTATGATAATTGTTTTATATTTTAGTATTATTGGTTTATTGTGTAGTTAAATTGATACACGTTATTTAATTGAATTATTAAAATAATTCAAAAATTAATAACTACAAAACGTATTCACCAAATTTTCTATCTGATTAATTTGGACGGAAGTCGCGTAAGAATGCTACACTTGATCGGGTAAAGCAAGTTAAGAAAAAATTATTCTACAAAATATCAGATAAGAAGATGAAAGATCATATATTCTTATCCGTATGATAGGGCGAACACCATTAGCTATTAGGGATCGATGGAAAGATATGCAATCCTTGTGTTCAATTGGAAAATTTATATTTTGTCAATTATATTTTATATAAATTATACTCCTTTCGTTTCTAAATATCTGTTATTTTACAAAATTATTTTTATTCCATAATATCTGTCGTTTTATGAAATCAAAGCATAATTAATATTTTTTCTTCTAAATTTACCCTTAACTTTTCAATGTATTAGATTAGGTAGAGGCTAAGTGCCTTTCACATTCATTTTCTTCTCAATACATATTGAAAAATGGTATTTTAGTCTTGTGTAATTATTTTTTATTCATATTAGAGCTATTTAATAGCTTCCTTAATTCTTGTGCAAAAATATTAAATAACAGATATTTAGGAATAAAGGAAGTACATGATTATTTATATCATTGAGTTCATAATATTTTTTTAAAAAAATACATCAATTAGTTGAAAAGCTAATTATTAATTGAACCCATTAAAATTCAAGCCAAGCCTAATAACACTGTATCCGTGACAATTCAAAAATTATCAATTCAATTTGGGACTTATTAAGGGTATTATCTGTTACCCCGATCACCAATCAGACTATTAATAAATAAATAGAGACGTGTCTCAGAATGTTCAGCGTCTAACTACAAATTAAATTTTGGAAAAATGTATCAAAGTGATTCCAAAAATTAACATATGTCTGAAATTTTATGTTGCAATAAGGAATAATAATAAGTAATTAAAACGATCCTAGAAGGTAGAAAAGAGTTAGATAAATCCATAATAAAAAGTTTTGTTTTTCAATATAGTAAATAAAAATAAATACAGCAGTACAGAGAGGAAGAATTCAAGAAAAATCTTGAATTCTAAAAACCACCTCTTAGTAGTGAGAATGGATAAGGCGGTGGACTGGTCTCTATCCCAGCCATGACAACACCAAAATTTCCTAAAACTCCACCACTTAAATTACCATACCCTGCAACACTGTCTACCGGCGTCGACACTGCCGCGAAACCATCGGTTGCACTGAGAGAACCTGGTGACAATGAACTTGAACTGGTGGCCCAATTAAGAGGTTCTTGAGTCATCGCATGCCAACCCAGGTATTGTCTTTCGCTCAAACACTTCGTGGACGGTGTCTCCGGCGATGATGACGACGGAAAGTAATTGCGCATATCAAAATTAGAATCCGGCGATGAAATTGGCGATGCTCCATTAACGGCTTTGGTTTCTTCTTCCTTTTCACTCCTAACTGAACTTTTTTGCGGCAAATTCAAACGTCCCTTTTTCTCACCAAACCTTCTGGTTCTCTCTTTCTGAAACATCATTCTTGGTAAAATTTCTGGGTCTTTTGCAACTTTACTCAAAAAAGCCATCACTTGTTTGGGTCTTCTCTCTGTTGCCTCAAGCCTTTTGTTCATGCCTTCAAGTTCTTGTTCCAAAGCCTTCTGTTCTTGCTTTAACCTCTCTATCTCCATCACCATACCCTCATCTTCATAATCTTCAAGCTTGTTTTGCATTGTATGATTGTTCTTACTCTGTTTCCTCCTCACAATATTCTTCAGTAAATGGGTCTGGCCTCGAAGAAACCATTCACATGCAAACTCCCACCTATCCGGATCAACCTTCCTAAAACCCTATATACAAATATAACACCGTAAAATTACATCAATTTTACACAAATTTGGCATATTTTTTCAAAACAACTTGAAATATTACGGAACATCTTGAACAAGTTGAAATATTAAAATTTTGATATTGAATTAATTTCTATGTCAGAAACGTTTCATCATAGAATTCATATTACATATGTTCAGGGCATGGTTCGGATATACTCACATAGGTGTTAAGCTGACGAACAAAGCTTGAGAAATTGTTGTGCTTGAAGTAAGCTGGTAAGAGACTCTGAGAGAAATCTAATAGGTCGATGACGATGAAGCTATTGTTGCCTCTGCCCCAACTGATGAGACTGTCCGTCGTCAGATCATTGACCATTTGGTAAGTCTTCAAAACGAACGGTGCTATTATATTCTCAGTTTCCATCCCCCACACCTTGAACCCCAACTCTCTCTCTCTCTCTCTCTCTCTCTCTCTCTCTGCAGAGATGAGCTGAGCTCTGAGTGATTCTGTGTGGGTGTGTTAAAATTTTCGATCCGTTCAATTGTGATGGTGGATGAGGGAACACCTTGAATATATAAAGGAGGCGCGTACAGTAACTAGTGGTAACGTGGCCGTCGCTTATAGGATTGCAATTTTATTTTTTTTGTTTGACTAATAAGTTAATTTACACGTATTTCATTTATCTTTTTTTATTCAATTAAAAATAAATCATCTATATTAAAATTAAAATATTAAAGATAAATTTTTCTTATCAGATTTTTCAAAATTTTAAAATATTTAAATTTATTATTCATCTAAGTGATCAATTCAACTTAATTATAATATGATTACCATTTGAGTAATACTATACGACTTAAAAATAGACTTGATAATCTCAACCATTGAATAGGTAGTGGGTCTCAATAAATGTTGGGATCCACAGTAAAATCAATGATTGAAATTATCAAGTCTATTTTTTAAATTCATGTAATATTACTCTTATCATTTTATCGGGATGCGAGGTAAAACCCACGTGGCAGCATCTTTTGGTACACGTCAAGGTTGAGGGATCAATGTAGATATTTTCCAGTCTTCGTCTGAACCACCACGCGCGGGTGTTTATTTAATTAATAAAAGTGGTCCCATCCTACGGGCTATACGGTCATAGCATATACAACGTGTCGAGACTGTAAGAAAAAAAGACCGCAAAGTGCTTACCTGGAAAGTACACCTAAGCGAATCAAATTAGTTTACTCTTTTTTTATTTTTGGGGGAGGAAAATTAATTAAGTTAAAAACATATTTGGGCCCACGTCTAAATTGTCTAGATTTTAAATACAAATTAATGGATCAAGTCCAACGGCCCAACTCCCGTTGTGAGATTGGTTTAAATCAAGAGTTCAATTTAAAGATATCCAATAAAATTCAGCCCAAAAAGGTCCACGTCCAATTAAGTTCATCAGGATTGGAGAAGCAACATCGCCAAGAAAGTAAACAGGGTCATTCAAGAGCTTCATTCACAGTATTTTAAAAAGAGTCAACTCCTACATCATTCTTTAACTGAATCTTATGGGGAGTTTCGTAACTGTCTTATTCGTTGAGAAGAGAGCGTCAAGTCAACCAAATTAATCATTTAGTTACTAATAAGTTGTCTCGATCTTTTAGAAAATGACTATGAATTGCAAATCCTGTCAACACTTGGACGGCATCGCACTAAGTCGAGCACATCAATAACTCTCCAAGCTTGTATCTCTCTGCTCTCACTAAACACCTTACAGTAACAAAATACTCAGGCAATCCTAGCCTATCAAAGTGGACATAAGTCACGTTAATTGAATCACTATAAAATCATGTTTTTTCTCTCTCTACTTTATTACCTGCTTTAATTATTAGTCACTTGATAAGTGGTGTGCAAAATTAATTTGTTGATCATCACAATAAAAATTAATTACCATCATATAAATTGGACTCCACAATGCGGGGATTTTTAAACAATTTGGAGTCTGTTTGGTTGCGTAAAATTAAAAATAGTCTTTGGCAGATTGTCTATTACACATTAGCCTTCTCATCGTAAAAATTGTCACTATCATCAAAACCATAACCATCACATGTTCACCACAATGTGCGACACAAACACCCAAAAGAAATTAACACAAGTTTTTTCCTTCTCTTTTACCCCAGTTCAATTCTTTTTCATATAAATTAACCAACAAAATTCCTTCTAAAACAATTTTAAACTTAAGATGTTCATATTGGCGAAACTTGTACACATTAAACATAACTTAACAAAGGACAAAATATAAATTAACTTTATCGTCTAATATCTCGTATCTTCATTCTTCCAAGAACAATTTTTGGTGGGTGTGAGTGGAAAAGATTCCCTCCCACTTCTCTTGCCCATTTTTCTTTTCAAGCCAAACAAACAAAAAAATTTTCTTTTCTTCTCCTCTTTTTCATCTAACTCACTTTTCTATCTCATAATGGAGAAAATATATAATATAATGATAACACCACCGCACAACTTAACAAAAGGGAAAAAGTAAAGTAGCTTGGAAATATTTCAGCAACACTTTTTTTAATTTATTATATCTTTATAGACACTACTTTTATTATCAAAAACATCACTAATACTCTTTTTAGTTTATATTTGAACATCATTGACACATTTTACCATTAAACTAGCATTTGTAATAAAAATAAATTATTTCAAATACAAAAATTGTTCCTACATAAATCCCATACAATCTTTTTATATAAAATTCGATTAAAATTAATTTTCTACATATTAAAATTTGAGTCGATTAAAATTTGATTCAAGCTGATTAAATTTTATTTTTTTATGTATTAAAATTTGAGCTTATTAAAATTTTTTGTTTCAGTATTAAAATTCAAGTTAATTTGAGCTCTACTTGAGTTATTAGTCCCGATTAAAATTCGATTTGAATAGATTAAATTTATTTATTTTTTATTTATTAAAATTTGATTAAGTTGATTAAAATTTATTTTTTGAGTCAATTAAAATTTTTATTTTTTTATGTATAAAAAAGTGGGCCGATTATAATTTAATAAGTGTTGATTAAAATTTGATTTGAAATTCGAATAAAATTTTAATCAGCTCTAAATTTAATATGTAAAAAAATGTATTTTTTAATTAACTCAAATTTTAAAACATAAGATAATAAACAAGAAAAAACGTGACTGAAATTTTTTCCAATAGCTTTATTGTCTAATGTAGTGTCTTCATGCTTCAAGGAAAATGTTTTGTGGGTACGAGTCGAAAAGATTCCCTCCGACTTCTATTGCCCATTTTTCTTTTCAACCGACCAAGAAAAATTATTTTATTTTCTTTCTCCCACTTTTCTATCACACATTGGAGAAACTATGAAATATAACACAAATGCTACTGAAGTACAATTTGGGGACTTAACGTAACCATTAAATAGATGGTGAATTGCATTCAATGCTGAAGTCTATTGACAATTCAATGTTATGATTCATTGATAATTCAATAGTCCGATCATTAAGTTCTCAAATTTTATTTTAATAATATTACTCGTAATATAATAATAATACTACGTCATTAATATTATATATATCATTAAAATAATTATATAATATCATGTGAATTTAGTAAGTCTCACTATTTTAATAAAAGAAAATAATATATAATTCAAATTGAATTTAAAAATTAAAATTCAAATATATATTATCTTTTGAATGAATATGGAATAAATGGATCTTATTAAAAAAATTTGATGAGACCTATTTATTCACAAGATTATATACCTTTAAAGTTATAATTTTTAAGTTTTTATTTAGATTTTATAGTATTTTATTTTAATTAATAGGAAGAACTTTGTTATCTGGCGTCTCATGGTCGGACCGCTGTGCGTTTGCTGTTCTTTTTAATTGGTTTTGAGTCATGTTTGGCGCGTGGGAAACATTAAATGTACATTAACACTCCAAATCTATTGCTGTCTGCCTGCTAAAAGTAGTAATTAATTAGTGAAATACTCACCACTACTCACCGGCGGGGCGTTTATTTTGAGTATTAGAGTGATAAAGGAAATGGTATTAGAAAAATAGTATATACGACTTATTTTCTACGTTATTTTGTTTGATATTTTATAGTCAGTATTATTTTTCGGATCGTAATACCGACCCGTTATAAATAGTAGCTATAATGCCTTCTAAAAGGTCTTAATGAATACCACCTAGAGGTGGTATTATATTCTTGGTATAAGTATTATAAATTAAAAAAATTGAAATGCCCTCTGGTACAATTCTCATATAAAAGTCTAGTCGCAATTTTTAAATTTTTA